CCCCCCACCAAATCCTCTATTTCCTTCCCAGGACTCTGGGACTGTGGGAAGTCCTCGCCCACTGAGACAGCTGCTGCCCAAGGTACAGGAGGTGGCCCAGTGCCTAGGGGAGCTACTGGCTGCAGCCTGTGCTGGCCGGGTGAGTGGCCCCCAGACATCCCCTCCCCCCAGTGCACAGCACCCACACTGGCACCCAGACCCAGCTCAGTGTTCCCCTCACCCTCATCCAGGCTTGCCTGACTGTACCCTCCTATAGGCTCTACCCATGTCATCCTCTGGGCTCCTGTGCCCTGCCCTGGCCCCTGCCTCACCTCCAGCCACAGGCTGGCAGCAGCAGACCATCCTCATGCTGAAGGAGCAGAATCGGCTCCTCACCCAGGTAAGGTACCAGGAGGAGGCAAGTGAGGGCACAAGGTCTGGCAGGCCTTGACCAATTACCTATCTGCCCAGGAGGTGACTAACAAGAGCCAACGCATCGCCCGGCTGGAGCAAGAGAAGTGTGCCCTCATCAAGCAGCTGTTTGAGGCGCGTGCCCTGAGCCAACAGGATACTGGGCCTCTGGACTCCACCTTCATCTAGCCCAAGCCAGCACAGACCCTGGCCCCCGGGGGCTCGTGTGGCACACAGCCCAGCAGGCACTGGTTTGAGCCTAGCCTCTCTGGCTGAAGAGTACCCTGCCAGCCTGGACACAGCCCTTGAGTGGGTGCCCTCCCTCCTCCCTTGCAGCCTGGACTCCCTTGAAGCCTGTCCCAAGTGAAGCCCCCAGACAGGCCTCGTGCCCAAACACTGACTCAGTTTTGACATCAGGGTACTGACCTGGGAGGGACTGTGTTAGGCAGGCACAGCCTGAAGCTGCTACTGCCACTGTCGGTGGACAGTGGGGGACCCCTCCTGGTGTCTTCTAGCTCTCTGGCAATTCCGGGCAGGGAGGAGCTGTGGCAACCCTGCTCCTGTGCAGCTGTCCCATACAGCCTGCCAGGGCCCTGGTCTCCGCGAAAAGGAACGGGCCACACCAGGCTGCACTTCCGAGAGCGGCCAGCAGAGAGCGCCCAGGGAGCGTGGTGCAAGTGCCTGGTCACCACCGGGGCATGGGGTGGAGGCGGGGCCACAGGCCCTGGGCGTGGCCTGGGGGACCCGGAGTCAGGAGGCGGAAAGGCAGCTGCTTTTCACTGAGGGTACCAAGATAGAGTGTCTGTTGCTCAAATGGAGCAGATGTCAGGGGCTAGGGGTTGTCTGTACCCATGAGATGGGAAACTGGCCACAGGGTTCCTGCCTGTCCAAGGCTGAGCAGGAGTTTGGCTGCAGCTGGAACAGGCCAGGCACATTCCTGGAGTAGGGGTCCAGACCTTAGCCTGCTTATGCCCTCCACACAGATGCCAGACCCTAAAATGACATTAGACTTCATCCCTCCTGGGCAGGCCTCTGCCCCAGACTCAGATCCACAGAGCAGCCTATGACCTTGGTTCTGGGCTTTGGATCTGCCAGGCAGCTTGGACTAGGTGGCTGGAGTGTGCCTCTCCCTGGGGAGGACTGTGCCCCCCAGGAGGAGTAACAGCCTGGGGCCCATCCCAGAGGAACTTCACACCTCCATGCCTCTCAGGTCTAGGCAGTTGTGTGTTGAGGGAGGACAATTCAGCCACAAAGAAGCAGAACCACAGGGCACAGAGGCTAGGGACCTCAGTGTCACTCCCTTACCTGGCCCATCCTGGGGGGACCCCTGCTCAGCCTGGCCATGAGGGGCCCTGTGCCACAGGAGCCAAAAATGGCATAGCAGTATCCCTGGTGGGTCAGTGGTCCAGGGCCCCAGCACAGAGATATATGAGAGCTACAGGGGCCCTGAGTGCCCAGCACAATTGGGCATGGTGCCCCAGGGGCAGCTCCACAGAAAAGACCTAGCAGCTTCAGTGGCTCCATAGAGCTCCCCTGCTGTGCTGAACCTGCATGAATGGCCCAGTCAGTCCAGGGACAACCCCTTTCCTCCAGATAGAAGTGTGTTCTCTTGGGGACCTAAACTACCCCAGGCCTACATCTGAGTAGAAAAGGGAGCTGGTCCTGAGGGGCATGATGTCTCCCCAGCACTCAGGTGAATTTGTGGTGCAAGGATTCAAACTTGTGGTTAGGTCAGCACCAGCCAGGGAGAAACCGCCATCGTCCATCTGCCCCAAGTCCCACTGAATCTGTCCCTGAGGAGGGTAGCCACTCCCTGGGGACTCTCAGCCTGACTTCTTCACAGAACTGGAGGCAGTTCTGCCCCAGGGTGACATCCATCAGACCTCCCACAGGATACTGGACCTGCAGAAGCCAATGCAGGTGCTCTCTGGAGTCCCAGCCTAATAACTTCTAGGGCAGGGAGGTCTCCATAGAGGAGGTGCTGTCACTATGGGACAGGAGTGGCATCCCTGGCCTTGTCCACTAGGTGCCAGCAGTGTGCTCATGCACTTGAGTACATTCAGTCGTGACCACCAGAAATGTCCCAGATGTTAAATATTCCTAGGGGGCAAAATCACTCCTGGTTGAGAATCTGCACTAACGGAACACAGTTTTACCAGGACTGAACATTTCAAAATTGTTGATAACTTCCAAAGGCAATTACCATTAATTAAAAAAATTCATGAACTCCAGAAGGAAACAATACACCGAGAGCCAGCAGAAATAATAGTCTGTAAACACTCAGATGTGGGGATTATCAGAGAATATAAACAATGTTTATATATCTAAAGAAATATAACATTTCTTGGAAATGTGAACAAGGAATAGTTTCTTATTCTTTACCGAGTATAATCTTTTATATTATGAAGAGGACACATCAAGTATGAAAAAGAATGAAATAGGGATGGCACCTGTAGCTCAAGAGGATAAGGCACCAGCCACATACACTAGAGCTGGCGGGTTCAAATCCAACCTGGGTATGTCAAACAATGACAACTACAACCAAAAAAAAAAAAAAAATAGCTGGGCATTGTGGTGTGCACCTGTAGTCCCAGCTACTTGGGAAGCTGAGGCAAGAGAATCACTTAAACCCAAGAGTTGGAGGTTGCTGTGAGCTGTGATGTCATGGCACTCTACCCAAGGCGATTGCTTGAGGCTCTCTCTCAAAAAAAGAAAAAGAAAAACTCAATTAAATGAACTAAATATCAGATGAGAATTTTCAGCACAGCTGAAAAGAGATTTAGTGAACTAAAAGTTTAGTAGGAAAGGCAAATGCAAACGGGGGTGGGGGAAGGAAAGGTTAAAAAAAAAAAAGTAGGGCAGCGCCTGTGGCTCAAAAGGGTACGGTACCAGCCACATATGCCAAAGGTGGCGGGTTCAAACCTAGCCCCTGCCCCCTCAATTACACAGAACACAGCCCAAAGAGACAAGAGATAGAAAACATGAAATAGGTAATAGGTTCTGGGTGATAGAGGGTGGTTCATGGGCTGGTCAGATTTCCTGAACGAGAACAGAATAGGGAAGGAGGAATAAGTGTATGAAAATCAAATTAGCTTAAAACTTTCCAGAATTCTCTAAAACCATCCAATTCTCAGATATAGGGATTCCAACAAATCCCAGTTAGGATCAATAAAAGGAAATGTACACTTTTTCTTACAAGATCACAAAAGAGGCTCAGCGTCTGTGGCTCAAGTGGCTAAGGCGCCAGCCACATACACCTAAGGTGGCAGGTTTGAATCCAGCCTGGGCCGCCAAACAATGACGGCTGCAAACCAAAAATAGAACCTGGCATTGTGGCTGGCACCTGTGGTCCCAGCTACTTGGGAGGCTGAGGCAGGAGACTGGCTTGAGCCCAGGAGTTGGAGGTTGCTGTGAGCTGTGATGCCATGGCACTCTACCCAGGGGTATAGCTTGAGGGTCTGTCTCAAAAAAAAAAAAAAATCACAAAAGAATCTAGAGACAAAAGATCTATTTTTCTTTTCTTTTCTTTTCTTTCTTTTTTTTTTTTTTGAGATAGAGTCTCACTATATTGCCCTTGGTAGAGTGCTATGGCTCACAGCTCACAGCAACTTTATGGGCTTAAGCGATTCTCTTGCCTCAGCCTCCCAAGCAGCTGGGACTATAGGCGCCAGCCATAACGCCCGGCTATTTTTGGTTGCAGTTATTGTTGTTTAGCTGGTTGGGGCAGGGTTCATACTCACCAGCCTTGGTGTATGTGGCTGATGCTGTAACCACTGTGCTATGGGTGCTGAGCCTAGTTTTCAGTTTTTGTTGACAGGGTCTCACACTGTCACCGGGCTAGAATGCAGTGGTGTCATCATAGTTCACTGCAGTCTCAAACTCCTGGGCTAAAGGGATCCTTCTGACTCAGCCTCCCAAAGTGCTAGAACTACAGTTCTGAGCCACTGTGCCCAAACAAGAAATGGAAAATAACTTGCCTACAGAGAAACAGCCACAACTACGTCATGCCATAGTGAAGAGATGTTTTGAGATGTTTTCTTTTTCTTTTTTTGCAGTTTTTTGGCTGGGACTGAGTTTGACCCAGCCACCTCTGATATATGGGGCCGGCGCCCTACTCCTTGAGCCACAGGCACCGCCCTGAAGTGATTTTTTTT